GAAAGGAAAGCAGAGTGAAGAACATTGACGTGAGGTACTTTTTCCTGCGAGAGTTGCAGCGACGCGGCTAGGCACGCTTGGCCTTCGTATCCTCAGAGGCCAACACTGCCGACGTCTTCACCAAGGCCTTGGCACCTACTAACCACCACAGGTTCTGTGTGGAGCTAGGACTTTTTGAGGTAGACCCTCGGTTGTTGTAGCTTTGTCTCTTGTTTGCTGTACTGTTGTACTTGCATTTATATATACTTGTGACCTCTGAGAACTGGCCTTGTGGCCCCTTGCTTGTGCTCGGCTGCGTGGTGATCTTGAGATCCATCCTGGGCTTTGTTTTGTTTCTTGCATTGACTGGTCTTATTACCATTTGTTGTGACTTGTTTGTGTCTGTGATGCCCCTCACTTATCCTATGGGGGTGTGTCAAAATGTAAGGGCATGTTCCTACGGCCCCTTATCAGGCCAACCTCTTATCAAGCTCGCGTCAAAACACACTGAAAAATCCCTAAACCCAAAAACCCTCGCGACTTTTACCAGGCAAGGCTGACAAGAGGTTTGCCTGATAAGAGCGTAGGAACATGCCCTAATAGCTGTGATAGGCTGTAATAAGGTACCTTCTAGGGGGTACAGCTTTTAGGTTTGCATAATTGTACCCCATCCCCTTCCTAGTTTGACATTCCGTTGTGTTCACTTCCCCCTGCTGTCGTAACCACTGTCGGAAGCTTCACCCCAAACAACCCCATGTCTCAAGAATCAACGGCAAGAAACGAACCCTTCTGTGCTGCTGCAGGAAAGAAAGATAATCCGTCGTCTTCCTCTTCTCTCGCTGCTTGGCTGCAAAACCGACTGTCTGCCCACACTGCCCATGCTGCCCACGTCAATCTATAATGATTCATTATGCATACTAATTCAGTGAAGTCTCTGTGTGAACTGGTCGGAGAAATGGTCTGTACTATGAGTACATGGAAGGTTTTTAGCAGGTACGCTACTCACCTTCGTACCTCAACAAATGGACGCAACATATTAGCGCGTATGAATCTCTTCACGTTGCAGTCCTTCTCTCAGAATTATGGCTGCCACTAGCAGTCTCCCCTCGCCTGAAATTACATTATTTTCCTTCTCATGTTACCCACGCCCGTCCTTGCTCTCGTCCATGCACTTCGATTGTCGTAGTTGCTAATCTCCTCGTACGTGGTCAGACTTCCCTGGGCCGACTAATTTAGGCAGCGCGCCTGCTTCTGCTGACGCCACGCATGAATCCTTTTTAACATATCCGATTGTTGAATAGTTGGATTCGCGGTTCACTCGAGCAGGATTCGTGTACATATTCTTTTTTTCTCGGTGTTTCTCCGGGGTATGCGCGTTGGCTAGAAACGGCGGGTTCCATGGGTGCCATTACCTCAGTCGACGCGGCAGAAAAAATCGACCGTGCATCGAATGCACGTGTCGTTTCCACGTCATGCGTAGCCACGTCATCCAGTGACACATCATCCGTTGCCACGTCAATCTCAGAGGACGAGCTGCAGGAGGTTCAAGGAGAGCGCGAATTTAGTGGAAGCGCGCTGTTGAGAAGAGATGCGAGCCATGGTGAGGCGGAAGTGGTGAGGCGGAAGTGGTGAGGCGGAAGTGGTGAGGCGGAAGTGGTGAGGCGGGAGTGGTGAGGCGGAATTGGTGAGGCGGAAGTGGTGAGGCGGAAGTGGTGAGGCGGGAGTGGTGAGGCGGAAGTGGTGAGGCGGAAGTGGTGAGGCGGAAGTGGTGAGGCGGAAGTGGTGAGGCGGAAGTGGTGAGGCGGAAGTGGTGAGGCGGAAGTGGTGAGGCGGAAGTGGTGAGGCGGGAGTGGTGAGGCGGGAGTGGTGAGGCGGAAGTGGTGAGGCGGAAGTGGTGAGGCGGAAGTGGTGAGGCGGGAGTGGTGAGGCGGGAGTGGTGAGGCGGAAGTGGTGAGGCGGAAGTGGTGAGGCGGAAGTGGTGAGGCGGAAGTGGTGAGGCGGAAGTGGTGAGGCGGGAGTGGTGAGGCGGAAGTGGTGAGGCGGAAGTGGTGAGGCGGAAGTGGTGAGGCGGAAGTGGTGAGGCGGAAGTGGTGAGGCGGAAGTGGTGAGGCGGAAGTGGTGAGGCGGAAGTGGTGAGGCGGAAGTGGTGAGGCGGGAGTGGTGAGGCGGAAGTGGTGAGGCGGAAGTGGTGAGGCGGAAGTGGTGAGGCGGGAGTGGTGAGGCGGGAGTGGTGAGGCGGGAGTGGTGAGGCGGAAGTGGTGAGGCGGAAGTGGTGAGGCGGAAGTGGTGAGGCGGAAGTGGTGAGGCGGAAGTGGTGAGGCGGGAGTGGTGAGGCGGGAGTGGTGAGGCGGGAGTGGTGAGGCGGAAGTGGTGAGGCGGAAGTGGTGAGGCGGAAGTGGTGAGGCGGGAGTGGTGAGGCGGAAGTGGTGAGGCGGAAGTGGTGAGGCGGAAGTGGTGAGGCGGAAGTGGTGAGGCGGGAGTGGTGAGGCGGGAGTGGTGAGGCGGGAGTGGTGAGGCGGGAGTGGTGAGGCGGGAGTGGTGAGGCGGGAGTGGTGAGGCGGAAGTGGTGAGGCGGAAGTGGTGAGGCGGAAGTGGTGAGGCGGAAGTGGTGAGGCGGGAGTGGTGAGGGGAGAGTGGTGAGGCGGGAGTGGTGAGGCGGAAGTGGTGAGGCGGAAGTGGTGAGGCGGGAGTGGTGAGGCGGGAGTGGTGAGGCGGAATTGGTGAGGCGGAAGTGGTGAGGCGGAAGTGGTGAGGCGGGAGTGGTGAGGCGGGAGTGGTGAGGCGGAAGTGGTGAGGCGGAAGTGGTGAGGCGGAAGTGGTGAGGCGGAAGTGGTGAGGCGGAAGTGGTGAGGCGGGAGTGGTGAGGCGGGAGTGGTGAGGCGGAAGTGGTGAGGCGGGAGTGGTGAGGCGGGAGTGGTGAGGCGGGAGTGGTGAGGCGGGAGTGGTGATGCGGAAGTGGTGAGGCGGGAGTGGTGAGGCGGGAGTGGTGAGGCGGAAGTGGTGAGGCGGGAGTGGTGAGGCGGGAGTGGTGAGGCGGGAGTGGTGAGGCGGAAGTGGTGAGGCGGAAGTGGTGAGGCGGAAGTGGTGAGGCGGAAGTGGTGAGGCGGAAGTGGTGAGGCGGAAGTGGTGAGGCGGAAGTGGTGAGGCGGAAGTGGTGAGGCGGAAGTGGTGAGGCGGGAGTGGTGAGGCGGGAGTGGTGAGGCGGAAGTGGTGAGGCGGAAGTGGTGAGGCGGAAGTGGTGAGGCGGAAGTGGTGAGGCGGAAGTGGTGAGGCGGAAGTGGTGAGGCGGAAGTGGTGAGGCGGGAGTGGTGAGGCGGGAGTGGTGAGGCGGAAGTGGTGAGGCGGGAGTGGTGAGGCGGAAGTGGTGAGGCGGAAGTGGTGAGGCGGAAGTGGTGAGGCGGAAGTGGTGAGGCGGAAGTGGTGAGGCGGAAGTGGTGAGGCGGAAGTGGTGAGGCGGGAGTGGTGAGGCGGGAGTGGTGAGGCGGAAGTGGTGAGGCGGAAGTGGTGAGGCGGAAGTGGTGAGGCGGGAGTGGTGAGGCGGGAGTGGTGAGGCGGAAGTGGTGAGGCGGAAGTGGTGAGGCGGAAGTGGTGAGGCGGGAGTGGTGAGGCGGGAGTGGTGAGGCGGAAGTGGTGAGGCGGAAGTGGTGAGGCGGAAGTGGTGAGGCGGAAGTGGTGAGGCGGGAGTGGTGAGGCGGGAGTGGTGAGGCGGAAGTGGTGAGGCGGAAGTGGTGAGGCGGAAGTGGTGAGGCGGGAAGTGGTGAGGCGGGAGTGGTGAGGCGGAAGTGGTGAGGCGGAAGTGGTGAGGCGGAAGTGGTGAGGCGGAAGTGGTGAGGCGGAAGTGGTGAGGCCGAAGTGGTGAGGCGGAAGTGGTGAGGCGGGAGTGGTGAGGCGGGAGTGGTGAGGCGGAAGTGGTGAGGCGGAAGTGGTGAGGCGGAAGTGGTGAGGCGGGAGTGGTGAGGCGGGAGTGGTGAGGCGGGAGTGGTGAGGCGGGAGTGGTGAGGCGGGAGTGGTGAGGCGGGAGTGGTGAGGCGGGAGTGGTGAGGCGGGAGTGGTGAGGCGGGAGTGGTGAGGCGGAAGTGGTGAGGCGGAAGTGGTGAGGCGGAAGTGGTGAGGCGGAAGTGGTGAGGCGGAAGTGGTGAGGCGGGAGTGGTGAGGTGGGAGTGGTGAGGCGGGAGTGGTGAGGCGGAAGTGGTGAGGCGGAAGTGGTGAGGCGGGAGTGGTGAGGCGGGAGTGGTGAGGCGGAATTGGTGAGGCGGAAGTGGTGAGGCGGAAGTGGTGAGGCGGGAGTGGTGAGGCGGGAGTGGTGAGGCGGAAGTGGTGAGGCGGAAGTGGTGAGGCGGAAGTGGTGAGGCGGAAGTGGTGAGGCGGGAGTGGTGAGGCGGAAGTGGTGAGGCGGGAGTGGTGAGGCGGAAGTGGTGAGGCGGGAGTGGTGAGGCGGGAGTGGTGAGGCGGAAGTGGTGAGGCGGAAGTGGTGAGGCGGGAGTGGTGAGGCGGGAGTGGTGAGGCGGGAGGCGGAAGTGGTGAGGCGGAAGTGGTGAGGCGGGAGTGGTGAGGCGGGAGTGGTGAGGTGGGAGTGGTGAGGCGGAAGTGGTGAGGTGGGAGTGGTGAGGCGGAAGTGATTAGTTTTAACAAGATGGTTTCGAGAAACAGCCCATACCAAGGCGCCGGTATCGGAAGGAATTCGTACAGAGAACATAGAAATTCGTCATGCAGAGATTGCCGTGCGACACATGCCATGCGACCCGTTCACATGCCATGTCGCATGCCATGCGACAGGTGCGACCACGTCGTTCCTTACCATCTCCCTGCTCTTTTTTTTTCCCCATCCGCCACCATTTTCCCGCCGTGCGCGGCGCCACCCCGCAGCATCAGCACCCGCGTCGTCAGGGTCGCACGCGGGATCACCGTGCGACGCAGGCGTAGTCGCAGGGGGCGCGGAGGCGGCGGCGCTGATCCCCGGGCTGCCGGACGACCTGGCGACGGAGTGCCTGCTGCGCCTGCCGCGCCAGGAGCACCGCGCCATGCGCCGCGTCTCACGGCGCTGGAACCAACTCATTCAGGTGAGCAATGCCAGCTCGTCCACGTGCTGCCAGCCATCAGGTGTGCTGCCAGCCGTCAGGTTCTTGGCTCGATTCTATCCACGCTTTCAGTGAAATATTCCTGCCATACCTCATCACCATGCCCTCCTTTCCACCAGCTCCCCCTTCCCCCAGTCCCCCTTGTACTACGAGCTGCAGCAGCGCAGGGGCGTGCAAGAGCGGTGAGTGCATGTGCTGCCTCTGACCCACTGCTCATCGCCCCGCCCCCCTTTCCCCATTGCCCCTTTCCCCCTTTCCCCCCTCCCCCCTTCGCACCCCTCCTCTTTTCCCCCACCAGTCCCCTCTGTACTACGAGATGCGGCGGCACAGGGGAGTGCAGGAGGGGTGGGTGTACGTGCTATCGCGTGACAGCTCGGACCGTCTGTGGTGGCACACGCTGGACGTGCACTCTGCCACGTGGCACGACGTCCCCCGCATGCCCTCCCTCTGCTCGCGCGCCTACGGGCTCGCCTGTGCCACCTGCCAGGGCAACCTTTACGTCATTGGCGGTGCAGGGTGGCTCAAACCCAGCAGACCACACGTGTACAGGTGGGTGCAGTGCAGCAGCAAGACAGGTGGGTAATGTGTGGGCAGTTGTGGGAAGGCATGGTTCGCTGAGGCCGTGGGTTCGTGGTGGGGTGGGACAATATGCTATGTGCCCATGTGGCGGACATGGCCTTCCCTCCCCTGCTGCTATTAGCAAGTGGTTTTCCTTTCCGCTTGCTCCATCACTGTGTGCATTCCCCTCCCCCCTACCCACCCCCACCCTCTAGGTACAACAACCCCCCCGCCAACAAGTGGGTGCGAGTGGCAGACATGGCCTTCCCCCACTTTCATTAAGTCCTTCTCCCCCCTCCCCTTGCGCTCTATCTGTTATCGCATTCCCCCTGTCTCCCGTTCCCCCCTCCCCCAGGTACAACGCCCCTGCCAACAAGTGGGTGCGCGTGGCGGACATGGCCTTCCCCCGCTGCTACTGCGTGGCCGGTGCCGTGCGCCTCGAGAGGGATGGCAAGGGCCGGGAGCATGGCGCGGGATGGCTCAGAGAAGGTGGCGACAGGGGGGAGGAGGGAAGGGAGGCGGGAGATAGACTGGGGGATGGCGGGTGGGAGAGGGAGAGGGAGAGGGAGAGGGAGCGCGGGATTGGGAGGGAGAGGGAGGAAGAAAGGGGGATTCGGAGGGAAAAGGAAAGGGAAGGGGAGAGGCTACGGGATGGGGAGGGAGCGCAAGAGGGAGAAAGTGTGGTTGGGGGGGAAAGGGAGGGTGAGAGGAGCAGAGTGGAGGAAAGTGAAAGGGCTGGAGAGAACGCAGGAGGGGGTGAGTCGAGCAGTGGAGGGAAACAGGGGGGTAGCAGCAGGGAGCCGAGAGTGGGGAAGGCGAGAGGGGCAGAGGGAGGGAGCAGCAGCAGCAGCAGCAGGGCGGAAGGGGTGTGTTCGGCGGGAGGGGCGTGGGCGAATGAGCGGCTGGTAGTGGCGGGTGGCATGGGGGCGAGCAACACGTCACTGCTGACGTCAGTTGAAGTGTACCACCCGCAGGAGGACCGGTGCGTGCTGTGGCAGGTGCGTGCAGTACGGGCCGGTGGGGGCGGGCAGCTTGATTAGGCAGTGTGATACAGTAGAGGCAGCTGCTGCTGTGCCATTTGCATTGCCATGTATCGCCCTCCATCCCAACCACCTTCTCACCATCTGTCTCACCTTCCTGACCCTCCTCTTCTGTATTCTCCCCCTGTTGTCCCATCGCATGTATTCTTCCGCACCCTCCCTGCCCGCACTCCTCTGCCTGGTGCACCTGTGCTGCCCCAGCGCCCTTTGAGTGCGATCTAGAAGATACGGCAGCGCTAACCAACCGACTGCTGCTGCTAGATGCTTCGCGACTGCACTCAATACTCCCCTTCCTCCCCGCTACTTACTCTTTACGCTCCCTGCCCTCTCCCTTTCCCCAGGTGGACCAATGCGGCCCCGCTGCCCTTCGAGTGTGACTTAGAGGACGCAGCAGTGTTAGCCAACCGACTGTTGCTGCGCCACATGCGCTGTGTGCACTCCCCTCCCGGCCCTGACGCCGTTGCCTTCTCCCTTTCCTCCAACTCCTGGTCCCCGCTTTCTGGGAACCTTCCCTCCGCCTGGCACGGCCCGTCCACGGTGCTGGACGGTCGGATGTACATGCTGGATCAGATCGGAGGGATCCGATTGGCCGTGTACGATGACGTGGCGCAGATGTGGCGCCCGATTGGCCGGCCCGGCGCTGCTGACGCCGCCGTGCCGGATATTAGGGTTTCGCGGGCGGCTGTACGTGATAGGGAGGGGGCTGTCGATGGTGGTGGTTGAGGTGGAGGAGGCGCCGCGGTGTGATGGGGTGCTGCTCACTCGCCGCATCGACGGTGTTGGGTGCCCCTCCGATGTAGTTGTGAGCTGCGTTGTGCTCGAGCTCTGATCAGCTGCATTGATTGCGGCACCTGTGATTGGCTGGATTGCTGCCGCTCTGATTGGTTGCGGAGCCCAGGTGCACCGTATGTGTCCTTGAGGTACCACTCAGCGAAGCATGGCGGCTGATGTGCTACGTGGTGATGGATTGGGGAGTGCAGTGCGGTATGGAGGACTGCAGCTCGTTGCCTAATAATGTACAGCTTGTATACAACCGTTTTCCTCTTTCTGCGTTTTGGCATGAAGGGAGTACCGTATCTGCTTGACAACCAACTTGTGATGCACCATTCAATAAATGTACACTAGAGGTTCTTTGTTTTGATATACAGCTTACCGTATCGCCCCGGATATAACCGCAGGCCTATTACCTAAAAGCGCATGCGCTTATATCTGGAGCAATGCGCTTATGGCCGATCCTCAATTAGAAGCGCACCCCTTATAAATTCGTTACTTATTATAAGTGCACCCTTGTAATAAAAAAAAAACACACTTTGAATATGTCATTATCTTTAGAGCTAAAGCAAGGCTAGCCTTTAATAGGAAATTTTGCACTACCTAAAAGTTTTGCACATACAATAGGGTGACTATTGTCCTAGCCTAAACACCATCTTGCCTAGTCTAGCCTTAGGCCTCCACTTCCTCCACGTCCGATTCAGGCTCCGTGGAGTTGTTGCCCCAGAACCCGTCTGCTTGGATGTCGTCGTCTACCTCTACCTCGTGGCTCAGCTGGCTTTTCCGGTGCGCCATCACCATATGGTCCTCGCTCCCGTCGAGGGCATTGCTGATGCCGCACGTGAGGAAGGATTTCTTAATCAGGTCGGCGGGCACGGCCTTCCACGCCCGTGAAATCCACTTGAGCACCACCTCCGGGGGTGGTTTCTTGATGTTCCCTGCACCACATGAAAGGGAGTGGGGACATTAGAACACAAGCAGGCAGACAAGCACACGAAGGGGAGACGGGAGGACATGTCTTCGCTCACCTGCAGGTGTTAGGATGTTCATGCCGTCCGCCTCAAACCAGGACTGGTATTGCTGGCGAACACTTGCTTTGAAGCTCTTGTTCACTGACACATCGAGCGGCTGCACGTCTGCCGTGCATCCCGCTGGGATGACCGCCGGCAAGATGTTGAGCGCCGCGAATCTCGCCTTGACTTCCTTGGTAAGGTGACCACGGTAGGAGTCGAGTACTAGCATGGCGCTCCGACTCTGCACGCCGAATTTGGGTTTCAGGAACAGCACCACGCCCTCATCGAGCCACTGGATGACGCCCGTGGCCTCCATCCACCCGTTCGCTTGGCAGCCGACCACGACATCTGCACACAAGCAAGTGGTGGTTAGTCCCTTTTTATTTTATAACGTCCAGAACACGCACAAGAACATGTGCTTACCGTTCGGGAAGTCACCCTTAGGGAGTGTCTTGCGCTTGAAAAACACCCACGGCTTCAACTTCTCGCCCGTCGCCGTGCACGCCAGCATCACGGTGACTCTTTCTTTCTGGTAACCAGTGCTGCGGATGGGCACCGACTTCACGCCCGTCTGCTCCACGGTGGTAGTGGCCGGCATCTCCAACCAAAGAGGCGTTTGGTCGGCGTTGATTATGTATCGATTGTCGATCGCGTACTCGTTGCGTGCGTCGCGGACGAACTGCCAAAATTCTTTGCACTGCGTCGCCACGTCTGCGCACGGGGAGGGAAGGACAGATAGGAAGAAGGATGAGTACAACTCATAAAGCATGCGAATTCGCTCGAGGTAAGTGAGAAACAAGGCACTTATGCTCCTGCGTTTTCTGCGCCACCTTAGTTTTCATGCGCACGCTGAGGTTCCACCGCTTGCGGAACCGCTCCGACCACCGCTGACTCCCTTTCCACTTGACTTCCGGGAACAGCACCTTCATCACTTCGCGTGACCATTCTTGGAGCCGGCCGACTGAAACTGCAACACCGCGGCGTCGCCAGTCGAGGAGTTGAGCGTACACCTTTAACTCCATGGGTCTGTACCAAGAAGACCTCCCGCGACCATGAAGTCGACACCGTGCGGCATGTGAAGCCTTGAGCTCCTCTGCTTGGCTTTTCCACTCCGTCAGGCATTTGCGGTGTATGCCAGACTCCCGCGCGACCTCGCTTATAGATGCTGCCAGCTCCAGCCGCACGAGCCACCTGAGTTTCTCCTGGGAGGTGTAGGCCTGTCGTTTATGTTGAGACGGCTTGTGCCTGGGAGAGGGGGGGCTGGCATCTCGGTTCTGGGAGGAGGGTGGGGTCGTTTTTTGTTCATCGGCGGATACGTCGGTATCGGCATCTTCTCGCGTGGTGCGTCGCGCCACCATGACTCCACACCGTCGTCGTCCTCGGCACTTGCACCACGATCTGGGAACATGTCCTCCTCGGCGCCCGCTTCACCGTCGCCGATACCGTCGCCGTCACCGCTGTATTGTTTATCGGCGGCCACGTCATTGTCGGCTCCCACAGCCGACTCGTCCCACGTGCAGGCTTTGGGCTGTCCCCACCGTGGTGCAGGCGGCGGAGCTTGGATGAACACATCAGGGGCCTTGGGTGTGTCCGGTTCAGACAGCCACTCGTCGAAAGCGGCTGGTAAATACAGCTGGAGCACGGGCCGATGGTGAGCACTGGCACCGATATCAGGCGGATTCGGAGGAGCGGGAGGTGCGGGAGGAGCAGGAGGAGCAGGAGGTGCAGGAGGAGCAGGAGGAGCAGGGGGCGCTGGGGGTTCAGGTGGCACTGGAGGCGCTGCGGGCTCAAGGGTATACCACCCGTCGTCGGTAAGTCGCCATGGGCGAGCTCTCTTGTTGAAGAGGAAGTGCGTCCGCTGAATTCCGCCATGGCTTCGCCAGCCAGGCGGCCTACACTGGAATCTGAATGAAAAAAATGACAGAGACGATGCACAAATGGGCAACGAAGGGGACCCCGTAAGGTTGGCGCCTCGGGGTCCTCGTCAATGACAGGCGGGAAACCCCCGCCTACCCCCGTAGAGGACCCTGCGTGGCAGCATAATCGCTGCGCTGGCAGGGAATATTCGCCACCCTTCGAGAGGGTTCGGAAGAAATGCACATGCCACGCAATGCATGCGACTGTGATTGGGCCGCGCGGCAACATCCCCGTCACTGCTGTCATGATCGATGGTTCTAGACAAAACTGTGCGGTGGGAAACCGAACCGCTGCTGTTTTTGTCTGAAAACCATGCACGATCCCACGTGTTGCATGGTCGGTTGAATTCGCCTCATTGCGGGCTTCAATTTGGTATGTTTAAAAGTGATTTTATTTTTTCCTATTACAAGCGCATGCGCTTATAAAAATGACTCGATTAGAAGCGCACCCTGTGAATCAAGAAAACAGGAATGAAATGACTAAGTGAAAGTTGGGTACAAAAGGCAAACCCTAGGCAACTGTACCCCATATGTGCTACCCCACTATAGCCTACAGTAGCTATGTCATATAACTCTGACACACCCCCATAGGCAAAGTGGGGGAGAACAAGGGGTCACAAGACCAGTCAAGCAAAGCAAAGCAAGCTCAGGGTGGATCACAAAGTCACCACACATTCCGAGCACAAGTTCAAGGCCACAAGGCCAGTTCACATGCAGGATTACATATACATATAAGGCTAGACAAGCAAGAGCAGGAGTATATATATATGCAACAGTACAAACAAGGTCAAAAGGTGAGCAAGTGAGGCAAGGTAGGTACAAGACCCAGCTGATTACAGAAGCGCTGATGATCACAAGGCGCAAGTGCCTTGGTGAAGATATCAGCAGTGTTGGCCTCAGAGGCCACGTACGCAAGTCGCAGCTGACCACGCTGCTGTAGCTCACGAGCAAGGAAGTAGCGAAGAGCAATGTGCTTCGTTCTGTGCTCCAGTCTCTGCTCTCGACACAAGGCCAGCATGGCCTTGTTGTCTACGTAGAGCACTGGAGGAGAACGAGGCGGCTCTCCGAGGTCAGTCAGCAGGTAGGTGAGCCAGCGAAGCTCCTGTGCAGCCATGGCCCCGGCGTAGATCTCAGCCTCACAACTGGAGCCGAGAACAGAAGACGAGCGAGTAGCCCGCCACGAAACAGAGCCGGAACCAAGGCTGAAGGTGTAACCCTGTGACGACCGCTGCGTAGCCTGGTCGTTAGCCCAAGAAGCGTCTGCGTGTCCAGTGAGGACCACTGGACTCTGCCCTCCAAGCACAAGCCCCATGCCCGACGTACTGCACAAGTAGCGCAACACCCTCTTCGCTGCAGCCATGTGCTCCGGTCTGTGTCTCCTAGGAGCAACATAGCGTGCAAGAATGCTAAGAGAGTATGCAAGGTCAGGTCGTGTGCAGGTCATCAGGTACATGAGGCAGCCAACAAGCTCTGGGTACGGGCCACTCGACTCTACGGACTCATCCGAAGGCAGAGCTGAGAGCGAGTGGCGAGTAGGCAGAGGAGTGGCCTGAGGCGAGGAGTACGTGAAGCCGAAGTGCTGAAGGACCTGCTGCACCATGTGTGACTGAGTCAGGGTAATGGTGCGGCGTGCTCTGTCCCGGGTGATCTGCAAGCCAAGGTAGCTGCGCAGTTCACCCAGGTCTGTGCACGTGTGTCTCTTCTGCAGCTCGGACTTCACGTGGGCGAGTCCAGCAGTGTCAGCTGTGGCAAAGACCAAGTCGTCGATGTACACGAGGATGTAGAACGGCTGCAAAGAAGTGTCGGTGCGCAGAAACAGCGACGGGTCGGCAGTAGAGGGAGCAAACCCAAGAGCCGCAAGTGTAGTCCTCAGTGTGTCGTGCCACTCACGCGGTGCCTGGCGGAGACCGTAGACTGGCCGCCGGAGGCTCCACTGGGTGCCAGGAGGAAAAGACCCAGTGAAGCCAGGTGGGCGACGTAGCCAGATCTCCTCGTGCAGGCTGCCCTGCAAGAAAGCAGTGCT